GATTTGTGATATCATTGAATTGAGACACCATAAAATCGTATCAGGAAATTTCGAGAAAATCTTTTCGCTATTATAAAATGTAATAAAAATTGTAATTCCTAAAAATAAATTGAACAACAAGTAAAGAAACTTTAATTTCGGACGGACTGAACTTTGAATACTTTTCATTATTTGGAAAAAATTGGCAATTAAAAAAAAAAAAAAAACTATAAAAGTTCTTTTAAAATATTAAAAATACCGAATGTAGCCGTTATATTAGGATCTAATGCGAAACTTGAAAAAAATACGGTGAATAATGTAGGTAAAATCATCAAAATACCGAAAATGGGGAGGTACAATTATGTGGAGGCTATACGAAGACGTGCGTCTGTGCATACAATTTTCTGTCTTAGGCTGGAAATACATAAAGAGCATATTTCGTTGGCTTAAGTCACCGGCTGGCTTCTTCGTAGATGAACAAAGGAGTTTTAGGTTGACTTAGTTCGATTTTGGGCCTAGGCTCCTTTGTTCATTTCCGAAGAAGCCAGCCGATGACTTAAGCCTGCCAAATATGCTCTTTATGTATTTCCAGCCTTAAGCTGTAGTATCCATTACGAACTTCAAATACCAAATTTGAAACAATTCCAAATTTGAAACAATTCGCTAAAATCATCAAAATACCGAATATAGGGAGGAAATTATATGAGGGCTATACCACAACGTAGACCTGAACTGACAATTTTCTGTCATAGGCTGTAGCATCCATTACGAACTTTAAATACAAAATTTGAAACAATTCCGGTGAATAATGTTGCCAAAATTATCAAAATACCGAATATCGAGAGGTGCCGTTATATGGAGGCTATACGAAGACGTGGACCTGCACAGACAATTTTCTGCCATAGGCTGTAGTATCCATTACGAACTTCAAATACCAAATTTGGAACAATTCTGGGGAATAGTGTTGCTTTAATCCCCAAAATACCGAAAATAGAAAGGTACAATTATATGGGCGCTATACCAAAACGTGGACCTACATGGCCCATTTTCAATAACAAAAGTAATGCTGACATAATATATATTTGAGTACAATTTTATTAATCTATTTCATTTCGTTCGGTGATTTCCAGAGACGTATAGACGGACGAATTTTTACGTTGATTCAGAATATATATACTTTGTGGAGTCTAAAATGTATATTTCGAGGTGTAACAAACGGAATGACAAACTTAATATACCCTATATACTATGTATGATGGAGGGTATAAAAATTGCAATTCCCAAAAATTATAAAATGGTAAAAAGCCAGAACCATATTTTTTTTTATAATTTTACAGTTATTGTCACACAAATATTTTTTAATTTTTGACAGTTATTTTGACAGTTATAATGTCAAAAAATTAAAATTGTTCTTGGATTTTTGTAAATGCAAGGTGACAAACGAATATGGGCATGCATACAGGTTCAATGTTGTATACCCCACTTTAGATAAACGTGTAATACTTGTCAAACATACCAAAAACAGGCTCGAACAGGCTCACAAACACTACCTGAAATGCTTTAAATGGGAAACATCAACTAAGAGAAATTTCGTTATGATCCCATTGGAAAACAATAACAACAATCGAGAAAGTTATCATGTAAAACAATAACAACAAAGAAAACTAAACATTTACAATGAAAACGAGTTTCAATAGTGAAAAAAAAAAAACAAAACATATTCAGAACACTTTAGTTTTTTGTTTGTCCACTTTGTTATGGGAACTTTGGGTGGACTTTGGGGAAGTGAATGTGCAAGTTTTTTTCATCTCCCGGCTAAAACAACAAAACATTGAGCTGCCGCGTTTATTGTGCAACAACAATGCAGTAAGCCAATAATGATGTCGTCATTTTTTGTGCCGATATTCATCACGAGACTTTTAAGCGTCTACAATCGATTGAAATGCCCATACACACACATGGATGAGAGATCAAGTATTGTAGTTCGTTCATGATGGTGGTGGTGGCGGGGGACATGGGTTCAAGCTTAAAAAAGCCACCATTCAATAGAACGTGTAAATATTTAAAAATGCAATAACAAATGGATTGAGAATTGAAAAAAAAAAACACAAAAGAAAATATGTGAAATTGATTTGTGTGCAAATAGCGTCAGGAAATCAGGTAAAGGGAAAAAAGGCGATTAAAATTATGGCGACAAGTAGGCAATCAAGTGGAGGGAATTTTAGTTTCAAGACAATTCCAAATTCTTTCTTCTTCCTTACAAATGTTTAAAGCAACACTCATAAATAGCGAAATGACATAAACATTCTGAGAGAAAAGTTACTCAATCAGGTGCGGAAGCAAAAATATATCAAAATCTATATATATATAGAAAATCCAGTTGATTTCAACTGTCAATTTCATTACGTATACGTCAAATAAAATCCAATGGTTTCGAGAGTGGAGTTCGATTGCGTTGACATTTTAAATCTACTCGAAATATTCAAGAAGATTTAATAAAATTATACTCCGTTTACATTGTAGTCATTTGTGACCATCTAACATGCAATTAAAAAATCACGACATATTTATAAAGGACGATATTTAAGGATAAAACCTATTTGGGGAAAATTATTCAATGGTTTTGGAAGGCGACCAAGATATAATAGACTTATACTCCGTTTACACTGTAGTCATTTGTCACCATGTGCCAATAGGTAATGAAAAAATCATGATATATTTATAAAGGGCGATATTTAAGAATTTCCTTAAAATCATGAAACCTCGTTGGAGATTTTTTTTATTAGATTTGGAAGATGAACCGGCTATAGATGGGTTCGAAAAATATTTTCTTTATATAATGTGTCATTTGACATTTTCATGGTAGAATTAAGAAGGTAAAATCATGCAATCATATGTTTACAATTTTTTCAAAATTATTCATCCCATCTGTGATTTATATTTATAAATCAGAGATGGAACCTGTTTTAATTCAGTGAAATTTGACAATGTAAATTACAGATAATGCTGAGATGTATAGTCTTATTTAAAATGACTTTACCTCCTTAATTTTACTGTGGTAATTTCCTTTCATTGTGAAGATTTTTATTTCACATTGTCATATAAGAAGAAGAATTCAGTCTCAGAATATGTTTACTAAAAGTTAAAAGGGTTGGGCAAATATTCTTTTCACTTTTTTTTTATTGTTTTAAAAAATCCTTGTCATTATGACGTTTAAATATAGGGTGTGTTCGGTAAGATTATCAATAGCAAATTGAGGAAAATTTTTACCGTGACATCGTGTCGGAGTAGGGAGTGTTAGATATATTAGCCAATAAAAAATCAGTAACGAGTTTTAACCGTTTGACGATCATTTTTGGTAACAGTAAATTTTTACTTTTTATTCATTTACTTTGGTAAGCCTTTTTTTAAAGCTGCAAGAATTGCATTTTTTTTCGATATCATAAAGGGAAAATCGATAACAAATCGTAGTAAGAATTGTATACATTCTTGCAGCTCTGGAACGGGATATATTTAATTAAATAATTGCTCTGTTCCAAAAAATGCAAGAATCTACTAGTTTTGCAATTTTCTCCGATATCATAAAGGGAAAATCGGTTATCGCAGTAAAAAGTTTCACATCCTTGTAGTTTTGGAACAGATCAAATGTTTTATTGATATTTAGTTGCGAAGCTTTATGTGACAGTTAAATATTTTAATTTATCAAATTGGGAGTAAATTTTCAGAGTTAAAATATTTTCATTTATATAAGAAAGAAATATTTGACTATTATATTATAAACAAATCTACACAAAGATCTGTAAATATATAATTAAAACAATTTGTATGCCCTTACATAATTCGTAATTTTTTTTATATTCATTTTTCAAATCTTCAAATGTCATAAAATTCTTGCATTTCAATTCAAAATTCATCAATTTCAAATATCCTTTTAACATAGGATTTTCACCAATAAAAGAAATCCTCATAAAGAAGATTAACCTGCCAAAAGTTCCAATGTAAACATTCGTGGCCGCATTTAAATCTTTTTCTTTTCTTTCGGTGTAAATCTTTTCATAAAACGCGTTATTTAGACTGTCAAGTCCTTGGATTATCCGTCAAATAAATTATCTTCTTCGTAAAACGCGTAATTAAATTGATCAATATTTTGGTCAAATATTGACAACGATTTATTTGACGTTTATTTTCATTAAATTTAAATTTTGTGAACAGGCCTTCAAAACAACAGAAGCTCATGTAAATATAGCCTTAGAAAAATATTGAAATTTTAAATAAGGTAGGATCATTTCGAAATGTTTCTAAGAAAAGGATTAAATTGGTCAATATTTTGGTCAAATATTGATGCCGATTTATTTGACGTTTATTTTCATTAAATTTAAATCCTGTGAACAGGCCATCAGAACAACCCAAGCAAATGTAAACATAGCCTTAGAAAAATACTACAATTTTAAATAATGTAGCATCATTTCGAAACGTTTCTAAAAAAAGAATTGAATTGGTCAATATTTTTGCCAAATATTGACAACAATTTTTTTGACGTTTATTTTCATTAAATTTAAATCCTGTGAACTAACCATCAAAACAGCAAAAGCTCATGTAAACGTAGCCTTAGAAAAATACTTTAAATTTTAAATAATGTAGCATAATTTCAAAACTTTTCTAAGAAAAGAATTAAATTGGTCAATATTTTGATGAAATATTGATACCGATTTATTTGACGTTTATTTTTATTAAATTTAAATCCTGTGAACAGATCATCAAAACAACAGAAGCTAATGTAAACGTAGCCTTAGAAAAACACTAGAAACTTTAAATAATTTAGCATATTTTCGAAACTTTTTCTAAGAATTAAATTTAGTCAAATATTGAAGATGATTTATTTGACGTTTATTTTCATTAAATGTAAATCCTGTGAACTAACCACCAAACTAACAAAAACAAATGTAAACATAGCCTTAGAAAAACACTAGAAATTTTAAATAATTTAGCATAATTTCGAAACTTTTTCTAAGAAAACTTACCATTTTCTTGAGTGTAACCCCAATGGTGAGACATATTGATTTAAGTGGTGATTATTAAATTAATTAACAAAATAAATAATAATTTTTTCTCTTTAACAAAAAAAGCTGAGTGTTAAAACTCAAAAGCACAAAATATCTTTAACTTGAGCGTAGCGCCAAAGAAACCGATCACCAAAAAATCAAAACAGGCAAGCAAGCTTTTTTTAATAACAAAATTTACGCCGATTTCAATATTTCGGGATTCGAATCAATGATTTTTTTCCAGCGACGCGAACCGTTAGTCTGTTAAATAAAGACTGAATGGAAAATAATATAACAATGTCTGTCAAAATGTATCGCTCAATCCCGCATAGAACACAGAACGAACAGAACAGTGCGGAATTGTTTTAAGGCGTGCGAATGACAGACAACAACAATAACGGCACGAAGACAACGACGACGATGGGACGATGTTGAATGCTGCTGCTGCTACTTACTATTCGCATTAAGTGAAATTCGTTCCTGTTGTTGTGTGGTTGTATTGGCGACAGCGGCTTATGGCCGCTCGTACGTCGGGTGATGTTGTTGATTGTATTGGTGGTGTTGTGCTTGCTGCTGTCGCGTTGTGTTGCTGTTGATGGTGCACACAGTGCATAGCCGCTGTCCCACAGAATAGTAGGTACAAAGGTGGTATATCCCCAAAATGTTGTGTCACAGAAAGTGTTGCGACGCCACTTATGTTTTGTTTACGAACGTAATCAACAAAACTTGCTCAACAAAGTACACAGTGGTACGAGAGACCACAATGGCGGGCAAAAACGAATTGGAATAAAAACAAACATGAACTCTGTCAAAAGTGAAATAAAGATAACAATATTTCATCACACAAGCACACACACACATTCACGGATGTAAGCGTGGGTATGTGTACATACATATATCATGATCACGCAAGTAAGATCTTTATTGATAGAGCGACGAAAACTCGCAAAATATTTACTGAGACGCATTCAAAACTGATTAACAGATAAATAAAGATTTTTCTAAGGGACGCTACTGTAGTGGACGCTGTGTACATTCTATATTTCCACCTTGATTTCGATTATTTAATAGGGAGTTTTTTTTTGTTCTTCATAACAGCTTTGTTCATTTACTTTTTATACCCTCCACCTTGAAAAAGAGGGTATATTAATTTTGGCATTCCCCAAATATTCGTCGTAGACCCCACAAATTATAAATATTCACAATCAGCATAAAATTCTAAGTCGATTTAACGAAGTCCGTCTGTCTGTCTGTCACGATACAGCTCCAAAATTTGGCAGAACAATTTGAATTGTGTCTAGGATGATTGGTATTGAAAATGAGATATATCGGTCCACGTTTTGGTATAGCCGCCATATAATGGTACCTCCCGAAATTCGGTATTTTGGTGATTTTTGCCACATTTGTCTAAAAATTGGTATTTGTAGGTCATAATGGGTTCTAGCTCCAGTGGCGAAACATTGTATTTATAAGTCCTCGTTCTCCCATACCTCACATATAACATTACTCACCGATATTCCATATTTTGATAATCCTAGTCACATTTACCGACGAAATTGATGAAATTTGGTATTTAAGAAGATTTGGTAGATTACAATCCTTGAAGTCTAAAATTGTCTATATAGATTCCCGTTTTTATACCCTCAGCCATATTGCCAGAGAGGGTATATATCATTTGATACAGTCAAAACGTGTCTCATCGAAATAACGGCTTTAGACCCTAGGTCTCCTTGGACCAAATCCGTTTCAGGACATTTGGTCTATCTGGCAGGGACGATAACTCTCGAAGGGAGTATCCGATTTGATGCAAACTTGGTACATCGCAATATTATTGTCAAACTTAGATCAAGTTATGGGCAATATCGGTCCACTCCTTCTGGTAACTCCCACACAAAATGTCAAAATTTTCAAAAAAAAAAAATACTGCACAGAAAGAATAATCCGATTTTGCTCCAACTTTGCATATTCTAATATTTGCATCAGTGCGAATAAGTCAGGTCAGGTCAGGTGCGAAAATGGACAGTATCGGTCCACTCCATAAAGTACCTCCCTCACAAACAGTCAAAATTTGGAATAATTATAACTCTTATAAAATGTGATGTAAGAGTTCGATTGCCTTCAAATTACACTCATTACAATATTTTTATGAACTCAAGGTCTGACGTGAAGATGGAATATATCAGTCCATTCCCTCTGGTACCTCCCCCACAAAGGTTCAAATTTTTAAATATTCATGAAGCTCATAAAACACGAAATAAACATCCGATTCCATTCAGACTCAATATTTCTATCAAAAAAAGATCTATAGTAAATATGGTAGAGATCGGACCATTCCATCTGGTACCTTCCCCACAAGGGTTCATAGTTTTGAATAACCAAGACGATTATAAAATCCAAAATTCTCTTCATATTTCACACATTCCGTTATTTCTACTTACACAAGATATGCTGCAAAGATGGAATAATTCGCTTCACTCCTTCTGGTACCTCCCCCATTAAGGGTCAAAATTTTAAGTATCCATGAAGCTCATAAAACGAGAAAATAACGTCCGATTCCATTCAGAATTGATCCATCTCAATATTTCCATCAAACCAAATTTTTTTAAAAAGATGGTAGAGATCGGACCATTCCTTCCGGTACCTCCCCCACGAGGGTTCAAAGTTTTGAATAACCAAAACGATTATAAAATCCGAAATTAACATCCGATTTTCTTCATATTTCACACATAACATTATTTCTACTTACACAAAATCTGCTGTAAAGATTGGATAATTCGGTTCACTCCTTCTGGTACCTCCCCCACAAAGGTTCAGAATTTTAAGTATCTATGAAGCTCATAAAACGAGAAAATAACCTCCGATTCCATTCAGACTTAATCCATCTCAATATTTCCGTCAACACAGGATATGTTATGAAAACGGTAGAGATGGGACCATTCCTTCTGGTACCTCCCCCACAAAGAGTCAAAGTTTTGAAAAACAAAACGCACAAGATCTGTTGTGAAGATGATATGTATCTGCCAACCCCTTCTGGTTCCTCACCCACAAAGGGGCACAATTTTCAATAATTTTACTGTCATAACTTGCCAAACAAGTCAGCGATTCTTTACAACTGGTTATATCTAAATATTTCTCTCAACCTGAAACCTGAGATGAATATGGAATTTACGATGCCTGTATTAGCTGGAGTATATCTGGTACCTCACACATACATATTTTAAGATTTTGAAAAAATTATCACATGTCTCACATAAAGTGAAAGAAGCAGTCGATATAGTCCAAACCTAGCACGCCGCAATATTTATATAATATATACGAAATGGGCAATATTGGCCCAATCTTTTGGAACCAACTCCATAGAAGGTCAACAATTTGAATAATCATAACAGAAGTCGAAATATATTTAAATAATCGAACATTGGCTGCGGGCATGGTAAAATGAAGAAGGTAAAGTCATTTCAAATTAACATTCCCATCTTTGCATTTTCTGTAATGTTTCTTGACAAATTTCACTGCATAGAAAGCAGGTTTCCATCTCTGATTTGTGTATGTCAGAGAATTTATAAATATTTTGACAATGAGATATTGTCAAATGAATAATTTTGCACGACCTTACCTTCTTGATTCTACCATGGATGAGGGTATATATCTATCGGCAAAACCAACGGATAGTCTTTGACTTGTTTTTTATTATATTCTAAATATATGTAATACTTTATGGATGACTTTTTACCGCAAATTTAAGTATTTTCACATAAAAACACCTTTGATCAAAATATATTTCGGATGAAAATAGGGCTCGCTGTGATCGAAAAAGTACATATGTACTTTAATCATGTATTTCACATCTCAAATGTCATCCATGTATCACACGATGTGTGCAACTTCTACATATGGAAAATTTGACACTACATATGTAAAACCCTTAACGTATGCCAGAATAAAATCTCAAAAGTCAAGGCCTTTAAGTTTTCTTTGAAATAAACGAAATCGGTTTCTGGCGAAATATTAAAAAAAATCCTTCGTATAACTGACCTAAAATATATTCTTCAAATCAACCAAGTAGCCTTACAGAAACCCAAAACTTCTTTTTTACCAATAGTTTTTCTTTTTTCTAATAGAAAACACAAAATGGTCTATGTAGGGCAAGTAGGTCATTTGAAGGTCTTAGGAATATGTTATCAGCTATGATAAAAAATGTGACATCTATACGCCCGCCCAGTAGTTATCTATTCAATACCACAATAGACATGTGATATATATGATTTTTTTATTTTATTTTAATAATAATGTTAATTACCTAAATTATTTGAACAAACTTGATAACCAACATTGGCAAAACACCAATACATACAACTCTACAATTGTTTATAACACACAAAAAAAGGCACGTGATCTATTTTCTCAAGATATTAACGTGTTTATTGCTCAAAGCAAGCTAGAGATTAATGTCATAATTTAGAGCGCGGTGGTGGCAGCAGGTGGACATAAAATATATATATGTACCTTTAATAAAAATAGCAAATACAAATATTTATTTCAATTCTTTGTGGTTAAATATTGACATTTTTAATAAACAAACCAAAAAAAAGTTCTGAGAATAATAGGCGAATGTCATATGAATTTAATCGAGATGTTAGAAATGTCAATCTCTAAGTATGAGTAATTGAAACTCTAAATATTTGTTTAATTTATTTATTTGATTTGACATTGTAAAATCACATGAAGGCAATATGTTGTTTTTGTTCAACAGTGTATTCATCTAATTGCAGAAGGCAAGGGTGTGGCCATTTTACCCAAATAATATTGTGTTTACATAGACCACATTTTATCTTAATTCAAATTTAATTCTTAACTAAGATTTGCAAAAGACAAACAATCGGAAAATACAACTCTGTTTAACTTTGTAGTTCTTCCTTGAATATGGCCGTACAACTGGCAAGATATTTACATTTCCCTAGACCAAATATGTTGTCATTTTCATGACTTTTATAGCCTATATCAAAAAAGAATATAATCTAAACAGAAATCTAAAACATTGCCTTCATAAATAATGTGAGACTTGATTGAATTTTGCTTCAAATTCTCATTTTGCTGCAATTAGGAAAAATATGCGACTTGTTTTTCTGAAAAACTGGTAATAGATTGTCATCCCGCACTTTCTGTCGAATTGGCATTAAATTCGTTACGAAAAATTCTCAGCTTGAATTTTCGTTTAAGTACAACATTATTCATCCGGTTTTGGCAAAAAAAATTCAGCCATTCTGAGGTAAGGGCTGACTTAAAATAAAATGTCTATCGAGGAATACACAAGAACTAGCAGTTTCGAGAACGTTTTCTTACGATAAACATATTTAAAATCATTATTTCATCATCCATATGGCTCATCC